ACACCCCCACTGGGGCCTTCGGTGGAGCTCCCTATGGGGCCACGAAACTCTGCCCTGGGTGGGGGAACCGCATGTGGACACCCCCACTGGGGCCTTCGGTGGAGCTCCCTATGGGGCCACGAAACGCTGCCCGGGGTGGGGGAACCGCATGTGGACACCCCCACTGGGGCCTTCGGTGGAGCTCCCTATGGGGCCACGAAACGCTGCCCTGGGTGGGGGAACCGCATGCGAACACCCCCCCTGGGGCCTTCGGTGGAGCTCCCTATGGGGCCACGAAACGCTGCCCTGGGTGGGGGAACCGCATGCGAACACCCCCACTGGGGCCTTCGGTGGAGCTCCCTATGGGGCAACGAAACGCTGCCCTGGGGGGGGGAACCGCATGCGAACACCCCCACTGGGGCCTTCGGTGGAGCTCCCTATGGGGCTACGAAACGCTGCCATGGGTGGGGGAACCGCATGCGAACACCCCCACTGGGGGCCTTCGGTGGAGCTCCCTATGGGGCTACGAAACGCTGCCCTGGGTGGGGGAACCGCATGCGAACACCCCCACTGGGGCCTTCGGTGGAGCTCCCTATGGGGCCACGAAACGCTGCCCTGGGTGGGGGAACCGCATGCGAACACCCCCACTGGGGCCTTCGGTGGAGCTCCCTATGGGGCCACGAAACGCTGCCCTGGGTGGGGGAACCGCATGCGAACACCCCCACTGGGGCCTTCGGTGGAGCTCCCTATGGGGCTACGAAACGCTGCCCTGGGTGGGGGAACCGCATGCGAACACCCCCACTGGGGCCTTCGGTGGAGCTCCCTAGGGGGCCACGAAACGCTGCCCTGGGTGGGGGAACCGCATGCGAACACCCCCACTGGGGCCTTCGGTGGAGCTCCCTATGGGGCCACGAAACGCTGCCCTGGGTGGGGGAACCGCATGCGAACACCCTCGGAGGAGGGGGGGAGGAGGAAGGAGAACGCGGGGCACCGTCTCTTCACGCGAGGTTGGTCATCGAAGCGGGCGATGAAATACAGGCGGATGGACCATGTTGCGAGAGTTAGTCGACTGGCTATTGTTTTTCAGTCGGGATTCTGTTGACTGGAGAAGTGGAAGAGTCTTGGAACACGTCGGAACAGCCGCAAAAATGGAGTACAGAATTGCGAATCGTCTGCGCGACGTCCGCAAGGCCGAACGACTTGGCATACGAGGTTCTGGCTGGGCCGCGGTGGTGCGTGGACCTACGCAAAGCCTTCGACTGGACCGAATACGGGCCTTTCTTTGACGCCCTCCGGCGCCAGGGAGTCGATGCAGACTACATTGCATTATTCGCGAGGCTGCATTCTGGGCAAATGGGAAGCGCGTCAGGCGCGCACGCTTTTCGCATCCAGCGGGGCGCACAGCAAAGTGACGCCATCCGCCCGATGTTGTTCAACGCTGGGTTGGAGTTGGCAATGGAGAAATGGAGGGCCCGCATAGGTCACGCCAGGTTAGTCATCGGAGCGGGCGATAAACTCACGAACGTACAGCATGCGGATGGCACCATGTTATACGCGAGTTCTGCCGACGAGTTAGCCGCCATGATGGAATTGCTGACTGAAAAGCTTGACGCAGTCGGTCGGCATCTGCACCCAGAGAAGACACATGTTCTCACCACAGAGGAGGGGATTGAGAATTTGTTCATTGAGGTGGGCGAGCACATGCTCAAAGTCATGTGTGGCAATGGTGTTCACAAATACTTGGGCTCAAAATATACCAGCCAATTTGAAGAATCGCAGCGATGTCGAGTTGGGACGCAGATTTTAACGAGCTTGGCACAAGTTTCACGAACACCGTCATGCCCTCAGACCAAGGCGTTTCTTTAAGACTGCGGCTGAAGCTGTTCCAATCTGTCATTACACCGACACTAGTATTCGGATTATCTGCCGCAGTTCTGACCAAGCATCAAGTACAATATTTGGACGTCCTTCAAAGCAAGATGCTACGTTTGATTGTTGGTTGGAGGCGTTGCGAGGGCGAGGATTGGGCAGACACCATGAGTCGAATGCGGGACAGGATTGCCCATGCAATGCGTATTTTTCCGAATGAAAAATGGAGCGAACTATTATGTCGCTACTTGTTCAGATTTGCGTGCCAGTCATCATCTTCGGACAATGAATGGGCCCAGAAACTCAGATTGTGGAGCCCGCGCTATACGCATGGGGCTACGAGGGCGCGCGGACGCCCTTGATGTTTTGCATACTGTATCTCGCTGGTATGAAATTGTACATGAATGCGATGAAGACGCATTCGTCGAAAATTGCATTCACGCCTGAGGACCGCCCCTGCTCTTCTCCTCCCTCTCTCCCCTCCCACTCGGAGGCACAACGTTTGCTTTCCGTTGCGCGCGTGCTTGTTCAGGCCACTGCGCTGTATCCTCGCCCGTTTACGGGCCAACCCTTGTAGTTTGACCGGGCCTCTGTCTGTCTGTTTGTCCGTCCTTCAATGTTTCGCGGCCAATCTAGAGAACCACACCGAAGTCCCCAGTGGCGAAGCCCGCGTGCTGCCTCCACACTGTCCCAGGGTCCATCCCTCTCGTTGCGCGCTGCCTATGAGGAGGGGGCCATATCCTGCGCTACTCGCAGCTGCATAGGGTTGGGTACTTGGCTGGGTTAATTTGCCCTAGGCGTCGCGACAACTTGCGGACACATGCCTTCCATGAAGCGCATCCGTGAAGCCTGCTGCGGGTAGGGAGGGCCCTCCCATGAAGGCTCCCACCACGAAATTCTGGAGGGTTGCCTGGCCGCGGATTCCATGTTGCAGTCATCATCATGCAGTGCCTCTGGTGGGCCTGTTGTGGGGCGGCGGAGCTTCCTTGACGTCTGTCAACCTTCAACATTGATGCCTGCGCCCCACCCAACAACATATTCTATCACGGAGCGCCACTGGAAGCCCTCCTGAGTGATGGGGCCCCTCTGGTAGACTCTCGGCTCGCATTTTCTGAGCTAAACAAAACTGCGAGGAGGACGCTGATACGTCAAACATGTAAAAACTGGGGCGGAACAAAAGAGGGCGCGGGAAAGATCAAAACTATATTATTAGAAAAATCGACCACCGCTGAATGACCATGACAATTGACACAAACGTGACACCTGGCAGGAGAGTGCTGCACATCAAAGGCAGTAGGCTAATCGTGGCCATGATGGCAGATCGGTTTGTTTGCATCCAGGAACCAGCGACTGGGATGGGCATACGCAAGGGGTCGCGCCTCGGGCTCCTGGCTCTTGGCGATTTGCGCGAGGTCAAACTGCTCGTCCTGACCACCGCCAAAAAGATAGGATTGTCGGAAGCAACCAAATGTGACGTCAGCCGAACACTACCGTTGAACAACATCCGTTCCTTTAGCGCTACGCGCCAGCCTCCAAGCACAAACTGACAAGAGGCAGGCGCAACCCATGCCCCCCCCCCCACCCACCCACACACACACACAATGATGTACGTAGTCAGCGCCAGTCACTGCAGTGCGCGTCACCCCACACGGGGGGCATCAAGCGTTGGCCCCAAGGTTGAAGGGGTGAACATTCTCGATATTCAAATGCGCCCGTGCCAGGGAGTGCGGGGGCGGCGTAGGGTAGCTGCCGCCAACAACGTATCCGCTGGATGCCCTCGCAGCACGCAGACCAGCTACTGGCCGATGCGCCGAGCGCGTGACGGCAAGATGAAAGCATCTGTCGTTTTGTAACATGTCTCCTTGTCCTCCTCCTGCTGCTCAACCTTTTCCATGTCCTCCTCACCTCCCTCATCACCTCCTTCTTTCCCCTGCAATCATCACCCCTCTGCCTTTGCCAGTGTGGGGGCCAGAAAGTGGCGGCATTGACTGCAGCAATATCTCAACCAGCCCTGTTGGCGTAGATGATTTTTATTGCACTTCCTCTTCCAACGCCATTATTATCCTTCGGGTATAGGGCTTGTCACTGCTCCTGATCAATCTGCCGCCGTGCCCGTTGGAACGCTGAGGCATGGTAAGCTGTCTGGCAGGGTTCATGAATTCTTATATGGATTCCACCCCCGCCTCCCGTCGCGTCCAAGCCTGCACTGCCTCTCCTCCGAAAGCCACGGCCCCTCGTAGAAACGATGGGTCCACGCTCAAGAGCCAAGATCCCCCGTAAAAACGACTGGTACGCACTCCCGAAATTCCAAGACGGCGCAGGCAGGCAATCAAGGCCGCCATGATGGCCCACGATGCCTCCAAGATGTCCCCAAGTCGGCCAAATATGAGTTCCAAATGGCCCAAGATGGCTCCAAGAGCGCCCCAAAGGGCACAAGAGGTTTCCTGACAGGGACCACAAAAGCCTAAATTCCCCAAGCAATGTTTGCATGCTGGGCCTCTGACCTCTATTCTACGGAATGGGGCCTGGGTGTCGTTCAGGCGGCTGCGTGCTCGCATTCGCCGGTCCGTCGCCGCCTGCTCGCATCCCATCGTCTGGGCATGGGTGTCGGTCTGGCGGTTTCGTATTCGACGTCGCCGCCCCGTCGCCGCCCTTCGTATGGGCGTCGGTACGGCAATTCCGTGCTCGCCGTCGCTACCCCGTCAGCCTGGATGTCGGTCTGGCGGTTCCGTGCTCGCCGTCGCCGCCCCGTCGCCGCCTCGTCACCGTCCAACGTCTGTGCCTGGGTGGCGGTCTGGCGGCTCCGTGTTCGCCGTCGCCGCCTCGTCGCCGCCCCGCCGCCCCGCCGCTGCCACGTCGCCGCCTAAATTGGACAACGCGCATCACAATACATTGGTTCTCGTTTCGTGAAACACAACAATGAGATCCCCCCCCCCCATTCGGAATGAACGCCCCCCCAAGTCCGCATTGCAAATTACATACGTACCCCCCCACATCTTTGCAAAACATGTTGTGCGTGCGCACTCGTTCATCAAGAAACACAACTTTCCAGACATCCATTACAAAAGCACGGCACGAACAGCGCACGCGAACGTCGTCGCGCGCGCATGCCGGAATCCTTCGAAAGCGGCCGAATTCGAAAGGATTTAAAAATCGTGTGCCCCGACAACATATGAAAACACATGGTTTCGCAACGCGAACTTTCAAAACAACACTGCGTTTGCGCATACGTTTTTCGGCATGTTCATTGAATTCTGCCCATCGTGCTTCTCGCACCGCACGTCGATATCACGAACACGCCCTTGCGCGCGCTGGGGGGGGGTGCGATCCGCGTCGTATAAAACCACGCGGGCCAGTCGCGCGCCGGCCGCGCTGGCCGCGCGCGCATGTCGAACTCCTTCCAAAACCTTCATCGCCGACGCGAAGACGTCGCCATGTCGTCGACATGATCAGCATCGGCGCCGTCACTGGCCTTGCCGTCGTCGTTGTCATCGTTGCCACCAGCGTCGCTACTATCAAGGTCGTGTCTACCGTTGTCGACGATGCCATGATACCGCGTCCGCCCACATGGCCGACTCGCACTGAAGTGCCCGCTGGGAAGTGCCCGACGGTCAGCGGCACCGCGGCCGCGGCGGTCGCGCCAAACTAGCTGGCCGCTGCTCGCGCGAGCATGCGCGGGCTAGCGCGGCCGCAGGGATGTGCCAGCCAATGCCAAGCACTCATCAAAATCGCCGCCGCCTGCGTCTATGCAAACCAAATCGCGGGCGGATGGGTGGGATGATTGCGAGAGCAGTGGATTTGACAAATCAATGCGAACAACAAGTCGTTCTCCGATATGAAGGAATATTGGGTTCACCCCCCGGCTCCCGCCCCAGAATTGACGGCCTGCTTTTCGTGTTGCAACTGCCTATGACTCTGCCCCATCGCACATTCAAAACATGAATTCAAGCCGCCCCAGCCAGGCCGGCAACGATTCCCCGCTCGCCCTCTGCAAAAACTCTCTGCGCGCACACCCGTTCATCCAAGTTATCAGTTTTCAGAGGTCCCATGCGAAACGTGAAACGAGATGCACACGCGCGCGTGCTCGCGCGCGCATGCCGGGATCTTATATATATATATATCTATATATATATGTGTGTATATATGGAAGAAGAAGAAGAATAACCCCGATACACATGGAGCCACCTATGGTTTCGCTACAAGAACTTTCAAACAAAAGCTTGGTGTCGCGCCGTTGCACATTCTTTGAAACGAAAGAGATATTTCGACATGCCATAATATGCTACCCATTGGGCCTCTCGCGCGAGCATGTTGAAGTCGCTCGAGCGCCTATGCGAGGGTGCTGGCGCAAGAACCCCCGCAAAATCTGAGACGGCGCGCGCGCGCGTCGTCGCGAACGTGTGCCGGAATCCCTACTCAACTGTTGGTTTCGGTGGGATTTCAATATCGAGTGCCCCGCAAGCATCTGAAGCACTTGGTTTTGCAACATAAGTTGTCACAAAGACTTGCGCTCGCGCTCTGGCGAATTCAAAAGAAAACCATGGGTATTTCACAATATTGGTAGACTTCGGCCAAGAAAGCATTTCGGGCCGCGTGTCGACATCATTCGAGCGCCCTTGCGCGCGTGCTGAGGGGGGGGGGCGCGATCCGCGTCGCACATTCTGCGCGAGACACTATCCCGCGTCGGACGCGCAGGCATGTCGAACTCCTTCCAACGCCTTCATCGCCGACGCGAAGACACCGTCATCGTCGTCGGCGAGATCCGCATCGGCGCCGTCGCTGGCCGCGCCGTCGCTGTTGCCATCGTCGCCACCAGCGTCGTTACTAGCGTCGCTACTGGCATCGTCGCCACAGCGTCGCGTCTACCGCTGTCGACGTCGCCATGGTACCGCGCCCGCCCACGTGGACGACTCGCACTGAAGTAAGTGCCCGCTTGGATGCGCCCAGAGGTCAGCGCCGCCGAGGACGCGTCTGCCGCGCCAGACTAGCCGGCCGCTGCGCGCGCGAGCATGCGCGGGCCAGCGCGGCCGCAGAGATGCACCAGCCAACGCCGACCAATCATGGAAATCGCCACCGCATGCGTCATGCAAACTAAGTTGCGGGCGGGTGGGCGGGATGGACGTTCGCGAGAGCATGGAATGCGTCAGTCAACGCGCTGGCGAAGATCAATTGCACCGCAGAGATTCCATTTCCTACAAACAACGATTATGATCTACCCCGCCACCCCTGGATCACCCCCTGGGAATGTTAACGTTCACGTGTGTAGCTGCCCCATCGTCTATTTTTAAAATGTATTCGTACCTTCCCAGCCCAGTCGGCATCGACGTGCCCGTCGCCCTCTGCCGTGACAACTACGCGCGCGGACTCGTTCATTACGCATCAACAGATTCAAAGAATCCTTGAGCAAAACTACGACGAAAAACGCGCGCGCGTCGTCGCGCGCACATGCCGGCATCCTTCAATCACCGTAGGTTTCGTAACGATTTTCAAACTCGAGTGTTCAAACTGTGCACCAAAAAAAACAAGGTTTCGAAACGCGTTTCTTTCATATAAGAAAGGCTTGCCATCTCGCGATCCCACGTCCAACCTGACCATGGAGCCAACTCCCCGGGACACCAGTATCTCGACCGTGCAAGAAGGAATGCGCGTCTTCCGCGAGGGCTCCTCTGCGAAGATTTCAGCCAGACATCGTCGCGGCGCTCGCGCTCCTCTAGCTCCGTCACTCCCCGCGCGCCCTCCTGCCCCCCCCCCCCCCCCCCTCCCGCAGGAGCGCATGCCAATGTAGCGCTGGTGGGGGCGAGGTATAGTTCCGAGCCTCCGCGACGCGCTCTGTTGGCACGACTGCAATAAACCCGCCGTCTGGAGGCGCCAGCTGCCAGAAGTCTCCGCTCAGCGCGACGTTCAAACCGCCGAAGGGTCGCGGCGCGCCGTCTTCCCCGCGCTTCTGGGTGCCAGCGTCTCGAATAACGCTGCGAAGATGCTGGTCCACTTCGGCGAGCGGCCGGGCGCTCGCCGTGCTGATCTCGTCGATGATCAACCACCTCCACTGCAGAACTCGTTTCGCTGCGTCGCACTGAAGTCCCCCCCCCCCCCCTTCTCATCGCCGCGCTTAACGGCGGGGATGCCGCTGGCGCGATGCATGGTGTCTCCGCCGAGCAGCTGCGCCATGGCTGCCAAGGCCGCGATCGGAAAATGAACGCCAGTCGTCCATTTCATCAAGTCTTCGAACAGATCCTTCCGCAGAATTCGCAGCACGCGTGACTTCCCTGTGCCGGGTCCTCCGTGCATGCACCAGCGCAGCGGTCCACTCATGTCGGCGCCCCCTCGTGCCTCCCCGTCCAGCTCTTGCGTCGCCCTCTCTGCCACCTGCTTCGCCACTTCGCACTGCTTCGCGTGGACAACGCGCCGGCCTGTTTCTTTGTCAGTC